AGAGACTGTTTACTTTAGCCACATTCATCGTGAAACTTGCTAATTAGCACATTATTAAGAAAGGCGATTTGCAAAGATTCATTACAAAACATTATACTCACTTCTTCTGTAGATGAGGCTGGATCATGAATGATTTGGGGGATCATTGACGCATTTAAGCAGATCAGGGGAGCATTCTCTTCAGAAACAAATGTAATCCACTGCGAGTTCAGCGGCTCAGATGTCAGGAGTAAATGACGACTGCTATGTTCATTATTACATCCAACAACAGAACACCTCAATCGCTTAGGAGTCATTCTTGTCTACATCTGCTCCGGAGGTGAAACAATGGCAGACTGATGACAGCTCATTCAGGGCGGGTCTGAGTTAAGGCACCAGTCCAGTCTGTGCTGAAACGCTACTGTCAATCAAACTATCGTGGGAGGGGCCTGTCTGTGTGATGTCACACAGACAGGCATCTGAGATTGGCTCGATTTGAGAAAGGGGAAAACATTTAACGAGATAAAAAAAACAGAAAAACACTGGGTGAATTTTTAGCATTATAGGGTGGTTGTGTACACACACTGCCAACACACATTTCAGTTCAAACAACTTGTAAAAGTGCATGTAGCATCCTATGACCCCTTTAAATATTGCTCTCTCATATGCTACTGAATAATGAATACAAAACCCTCTCTAGTAAAATCTTTTTACAATAACATCCTGGAGAGGGCAATATACACACACCACTTCACATCGTTATTCATTTTCTGTATCTGTTTAACCTCTCCTCCTCATGAACCATCCTATTTCTAACTGAAACAAGCGACTGAATGAATGATTTATCTTTTTCTCCTGTTTCAGTTCTGAAGTGTCATCAGATTCAGTTCCACTGACAATCAAGAATCTGTGTGTGTCTGACTCTGCTGTGTACTACTGTGCTCTGAAGCCCACAGTGACTAAAACACAATCAACACTCACACAAAAACAGAGCAAGTGCTCAATTATGTGACATGCAAATCTCCACGATATCAACTTCTGTACCACAACTATAACACGTATAAAATCAGAAATGTAAGAATTTTTTATTATTTAGTGTTGTGCAAAGTGCATTTCACCCACTCTATACATTTTAGTTTTACATAAGCTGCCGAAAAATTATCTTCATAATCTTCTGTGAACCTGCATAAAAATTAAATCACATTTATTAATCTAAATTTAATGTTTGGTTTTAAAATATGTGCAGATTTGACAACCTTTTGGCATTAAACTAAAAAAGGATGAAAGAGGAGGAGTTTAGCACATGCATCTGAGATGATCTTGTTACATTTGCTAGACTGTCACAAAGCTCAGTCCTGCTGTAGTGAAACACATACATGCACAATGATTCTTCATTCAGTCATTCTGCTTTCTGCCTTGACATGTAAGTGCTTTTGTGTATGTTTTGCAAGCTTTTGCACTTTAAAAAAATCTCAGAAACTTTTAGAACATAGATATAATATTTTGTCATCAACAATTTCTCATGCTAAATTAACTTATTTAATTGATCAATCAATTGATCAACATTCATTTTTAATATAATTAAATAGCATTGTTTATTGTATGTATACAATTTCACATCACTGTAATCAATCAATTTCAAAGTTGTTCTTTTGCTCTTTTCCAGGTGTGAGTTTTGGAGATGAAATCACACCAGACAGCACTGAGAAATCTGCTGCAGTGGATTCAACTGTTACTTTATCCTGCAGTTATTCCTCTGCACACTCACTTCAATGGTACCGTCAGTATCCTGGATCAGCTCCTCAATTTCTTGTGCTCATAATAGAGAGTGTGAAAGAGACTAAGACATCTGATGTAGATCCCAGGTTCTCTACTAAGCTCAGAAAAGAAAAACAATCCACAAAAGAGATCACCCGTGTGGATCTGATCATCTCCTCTGCTGCAGTATCAGACTCTGCTCTGTATTACTGTGCTCTGAGGCCCACAGTCACAGGAAACACAAGAACACTGTACAAAAACCTGACATAACTCTACCTTCTACTAATCAGACTGGAACACATAACAATCAAGAGAATCATGTTCTTAAATTGCCAACTCAGACACTGAGAGCAAAAGTCTGATAAAATACATTCAAAGACACGTTTTAAATTAGATTTAATAACTTTGTACAAACCCAAAATTTTCGTGATCATATGTACTGTAAGTGAAAGGTACATTTCACAATGTAATTGCTAACAGCAGTTTACTGCTGTTTATTCATTGGTGAATCCAGTGACTAAACCATCAACTTCCTGTTCCTGTTAGAATCGTGGCAACTCTGTTATCTATATCGTGATTATTTTATATACAGAAAGCAATCAAAGATTGTTTTTTTATAATCACTGCAGCAGTCAATTCAAGATCAGCATGAGTCTATCAGTCATTTGATTTCTGCATTTTCACCAAAACTAATGTTATAATCAATGACACTTTACACAATTCTCAATGAGTCGTGTTTTCATTATGTTAGTTATGATAAAAGTATATCCATCATGATTGTGTTTGGCTACAGTACAGCGCTGCAACCTTTGATGCAATGAGAGGAGTTTTAAATAAAAAGCCATAAACAACACTTTTCACCATTAGTTAATTTTAGCGGCTGTTATAATAAAATCTCAGTAAATGTTTTCAAGAGAGTTCTGCATATAATACTCATTTCATGTGGAAAGGTGTTTACACTGAAGTCTTACAGCAGAGATGTCCCTTCAAACAGAGTGTTCAAATCAGAGGGCTAAATTCAGGGTAGAAAAGGCCCATTTGTATCTAAATTACGTTTTTGATGAAAAAAAAAAACATACTAAGATTATAAGTGCACCTCAGGAAAAGCATGTTATGACCCCTTTAAATTAATGTGACTTTCAAAGTACATTAAGCATGCTAATACTGTTTATTACACCAAATCCATACAAAAATAGCCTAAAATTTATGTTTAGTGGATTATCATGTGTAACACACTGTGCTGGTATAATGTGCCACAAGGTGGCAGTGTTCTCAGACATTCACTAGGAACTGCAGCAATAAACATCAGCATTGAATTTACAACTGAACTTGGGTATAATGTGGCTCAGAGAGGAGGGACTCAGTATTCACAGATCTGACATGATCTAATGTGTTTGACCAAGACTTTGGTAGAAACTATTCAGTCTGACTCTTCTCAGCAGTAAACACTTGTAAAATGGATCTTTATTCAGTTTTTCTGTTCTGTGCATCAGCAGGTAAATATTTAGTTAATTATAAATTTTGTTTAATTAAAAACATTTCACTGAGAATAAATGTTTTTTTTTTCAGCTGCTGTCTTTGGAAATGTCATCAAAACAAACAAAACTGATGTTGTTTATGAAGAGGGTTCAGATATTACATTGTCCTGTAGTCAATCACCTGTAGCTTCAGATAATATCCACTGGTACCGTCAGTATGAAAGATCAAAACCTGAATTTCTTGTACTCACCTACGGTAGTGCAAAAGAAGCTGCGGTGTCTGAGGTAGATCCAAGATTCTCTGTTAAAGCTGAAAAACGGGAACAAATCCATGTGGATCTGGAGATTTTCTCTGCTGCTGTATCAGACTCTGCTCTGTACTACTGTGCTCTGAGGCCCACAGTCACAGGAAACACATCAGCTCTCTACAAAAACCTGTTACAATGAGTGACAAGAGAGAAACAGAGAAAAAGACAATGAGGAAGTAGTAACTGCCAATTACAATAATATGTCAGGGAAATAACAATAATAACAAGAACAGTGAATAAATCACAGGCAGTTACCTAAATCAAAAAGGACACAACTCATTTAATCAGTCTTTGGCAAAATTATAAAATCAAAGGAACATTCTAAAGTAAGTAAATCTTTGGCAAAATAAAGATGAAGAACATTAAATCCCCATAATACTGTGCTTTGACAAATCAATTAAAAATATTCTGTAATTCAGGAAACTGTCAAATATGACAAACATTAAAACATCTCAAATGATTCTCATGTGCAACACATGGGGCAGGATCATGAATGCCACACGATGGCAGTGTTCACACACATTCACATGGAGATAATGCTATTTTTAATTCTATAATATATATATATATAAAATAGCTAGACAATTCAATTACCAAATAAATATTCTTTATATTTTCATCAGTAATATTTCCATGCTCATGAGAAATGGCAGGAAATTAAACATAGTGAAAAATGCAAAGACATCGAACCATGCCTTTATAAAGCAGGAAGTTCCTGTGTGTGTTTGTGACTGATCTGCAGTGACTTACAGCTCAGAGCACTGAGAGCCTCAACAGAGAACTGAGCTGATCTGATTGAACATGGACAGATGCTTCATACTGATTCTCATTGTGGGAACAGGTACATTATTTATGAGTGAAAACAACTGAAAGTCTATTTACATTAGCACAGTATGTTTTTTAAAAGATTTATTTTATTTATTCATTTTTATTTAATTATTATAATTATTATTTTGTAAAAAGTGCTGTGAAATATGCTTGTGATATATAATTTTGTTAGCTTTCACAAATCAAAAATCTCTTAATTTGTGTTTATTGTTGACAGGTTTGGTGGCTGGAGACAGCATTGAGCCAGATAAAGGGACAGAAAAAACTTCTAAAGAAACAGAAACTGTCAAGCTGAGCTGCTCATACAGTACAAATAGTGAATATGTTTGGCTTTACTGGTACAGACAGTATCACAACAGAGAACCACAATTCTTATTATATAAATATGCACCGTCATTGGGTGATTATGAAGACACCTCTGATGATCGGTTTCATTCAGCTACAACACAAACATCCACTGAACTCACTATTACTGATGTACGTCTGTCAGATTCAGCTCTCTATTATTGTGCTCTGTTAGTAGCAGCCCAGTGATACAAAACATGATACATGTCATACAAAAACCTGAAGCTCTTTTCACTTTGAAAATATCGAGTGAAAACCACAGTCACAACCACAATCTATCCAGCCCTGAATGTAATAAAATATGTGCTCACACCTGTGAGAGTCTGAATTGGGCCTGTTATAAAACTTCAAAGAAAACATTAAGAATATGTTCAGGATATCATGTTCCATTTCTGCCTTTTTAATTTCATGCAACTCAATTTATTTTTTCCCCTAACTTTTCCTACCGTATAATTACTTAATTGTAATCATTAAAGTTTTTTTTAGGTATTATATGTATTTAAGTATAAAACTCATATATAATATATTCTGCTTTGGTTAGTATAAAATAATTTAGTATAATAATATTATTTGAAAAACATCACAGATTACAACCAAACCAAATCTGGTTCAAAAGATAAGACATAATTACATGCATTTTTAGATTGAATATTACTAATCTTACTTATTTTATTACAAATCTTTGTTTACATAATTCCACTATTCTTGGCTTTTCTTGACATCAGCCTCAGCAACTCATGAACATCAGCAAAGGCAAAACCATATGCATTTGCTACATTCTTAAATGGATATTATAAATAACTTCCTTTTTTAATACATGTATATATATATATACATACATACATTCAAGCAGTTTCTGACATAAGCATTTTTTTCCTATTGTTAGAAAATCAACAGACTCCAGCAGTGGGAGGAGTTTATTCACACTTTTGAGAGTGTGAGACAGAGTCAAACAGTTGTTCAAACACTATTTTTGCCATCACTGTCTCTCTGAAGACATCATGCTTGTCTTTACTTGGATAATAATCCAACTTTGCATGGGTAAGAGATATTCATTCAATCAATTTGTTTATTATGAAACAAACAAACAAAAAAAACACTTAAGGCTTTGCATCTGTTATACTAATTTACTGCTTGTTTAATTGAGACTTTTCTTTTCCACAGGAACTTCTTTTGCTGATACAATACAACCACTGTCTTCAGAAAAATATGTTGTTGAGGGTAAAAATGTGACTCTGTCTTGTAATTACAGTACCACTGGCACTGTTGACTCTCTCCAGTGGTATCGAGAGTATGTCGGAGCAAAACCAGACTTCCTACTTCTTGTCACTGAATATTCAAGTAAATCTGAGCCTGATCTTCGTCTGTATTCAAAAGCTACAAAAGAAATCAAACGTGTGGATCTGGTGATCTTCTCTGCTGCTGTATCAGACTCTGCTCTGTATTATTGTGCTCTGAGGCCCACAGTCACAGGAAACACAAGAACACTGTACAAAAACCTGATGCACGGTATTGCATCTGTATTACACAAATGTGTTTCGTAAACTGGTGGACTCAACAAATGTTCAGGAGGACCATTTTTACCTCCTTTCAATCTATTATGTTAGGGATAATGTACAAATATTGTCAGCCACATACAGTATAAATTAATATGAAATAGATTTTACAGTTAAAGTTTGAGTTTATTTTAATCTTACCTGTAGCTATTGCATTTTAAATCTTCCGCTAAGGAAAAAAAAAACAGTCCACAACAAAATGAAATTTCCAACTTAAACGGATGTAAATCTTGAATGCTTTGGTGCACAGACTTAACTTTGGTCTGTTTTGAAAGAAGACACTTCACAGATTATTGCTAAAGTGAGAGAGAAAAAAGTTAAATAAAAAAGTTATAGTTTATTTTTTAATGAAAAATGCACAAAAATACAATTTTCAAATGTTATATGAAATATATCAAATTACATCAAGCACAAGACACAAACTCATCTGCATTTACATTTACAGTGCTTTCTTTCACTATATGATTCAGTTTATTAAAATACATTTCGAATGATTACAAAATTCAAGATATGGGAGCAGAAAATGTATACATTTATATCAGTTAATATAGTTTATATAAATATAATTTATATATCAATGTAATTTATTTTCTTCAAAAATCAACATGATTTCAAATGTGATATTAAAATTATGTTATATTAATATACAGTTCAATAAACAAAAAGTTAATTAAGAGACTTAAGTTTTAGACATCATATTGCCTGTTTTTGCTCTATTTCGACAACAAAAATAACTCCAAACAAAGCCACAGCACTGTTTTGCACCTCTGAATGCCACTTCAGATGCAGCTTCTGTGTTTCCTCTGCATTCCAAAGATTAATTTAGTTGATAATTATACCATTTGTTTGGTAACAGCCCAAATGTCTCGTTATTCTAATTGACAAATTATATGCAAGAATTTGACTCAAAAAGATGATGCACACTTTAAGAAAAATGGCTTTATAAATGTAAAAATGCTTATAAATATATAAGCTTATTGGTAGATTAATTTCTATCACTTAGTATTGCCAAAAGACCCGGTACTTCGGTAACAAGTCGGTACTAAAAAATGAAAACGTTTCGGACCCAAGTTTTTTTAAGTAAAATGTTTCACAATTCGCAAATGCACAGGACGCGATTTACAAATGCTGCAGCTATCTACAAACGCACAGGACGCGATTCACAAATGCTGCAGCTATCTACAAATGCACAGGACGCGATTCACAAATAAATGCCAGGCAAAGTTGTGGTTGTGACATAAATATATATTTGTGAATATGTTTTTTATT